TGTGTATATAATACCATTGGGAATCAATAGGAGCTTCCTAACTTTTTCTGTTTGCCATGTATCAGCTGTATCCGTTGGCTTATTAATTATGAAAACGGCTTTCTAGTTTCTTTCACAAGGTGGGGGAGAGGGGGACATTTTTATTCTGAACACAAGCTAGCTTCTATGTGGTCATATAAAACTTAAGCAGAGTTGGTTGCTTGTCTCTCTCTCTCTTATAAAACCATATTCTTAGTTTGGTTTTGTCAGAGCTGTTTTGGAGCCCTCTAGTTTATTATTTCAGTAACCACTTAACACAGCCTAACCTGGCTAGTTGTACCTCAAATAGAGCCCAAAGTCTAGACCAGAGGTTAAGTAGACTTTCTAAATTATTAACCCAGATGAATGAAGATACACAGTAGGATATAAAGTTTTTTTTTAAATCTCATATTTAGTATGTATTTACATATGCACTTAGAAGACGCTAATGTACAGAATTTATACTGGGCAGCCTTTGCTTGTGAACTTGAGTGTAAGCTACAAGAGAAAGAAAGAAGACAACCTGTTATTTTCAGTATTTATACTGAAATTCCTTGTATTGTATACTAGATTAGAACGAAGTATTGTTTTGATGGGTGGTGTTTGTTTGTTTGCTTGCTTGCTTTGTAGATTTTTCTCCCCTCCCATCATCTGCTCCTTGGACAGGAAATAAAATCAGCCTTATTATTTGCTTCATCTCCTACTATTCAGATGATGCAGTCATTTTGAAGAGAAAGCAAACTGTAGCAGGCAGAATTTACACAACAATGTATGGGCTTTTACCCAGCAGTTGTTAGTGTAGCAGCAGGCCCAAACTAGCAGCATGCCGGGGTCCCCAGCACAGCTGTATTTCTGCCATTCCTGCAGGTTTGTGTGCACCTGGGATGGGCCACACCCAATTGGTTATCAGTCAACAGTGTGTGTGTGTGTTTAAATTCATGATTTCCTCTTGAAACTAAACTAGAGAGTGTTAACTGTGTGTGTTTTTAAATTCAGTTTTGTATGTTAGCATTCTTTAAATGTCTGCCAGAAGTTTAATTTGAATTTCTGATCCCTGAAGGCAGCTAGACAGAATCACTCTAGTTCTTCATAAATTGCCTTCTATGATTCATTGTTAACTCATAAAACATAGTCATTTCTGTATGCTCAAACAGTTCAGGCAGTTACAGTATCTGGACTATGTATGTATGTATGTATACATTTATATTATTGCATTCTCTTTAAATTGTCATTGGAGAAAAAAAAATCAAGAATTAGTTTGAACTTGCAATTAAGACAGGCGTGCCCCGCAACTTACCAAACATCAGACATTCATGCTATTATATCAAGGGAGCAGGTAAACTTTCTTATTTGGGGATCAAAAAATTTTAAAAAGTTACGTTTTGCCTGAGTACTCTCCAAGAGGGGCCCATAAATATTAGAGTGCTGTAGTTAAAAACTCACATGACTGTTTTAAATACTATTGATTTAAACCACTGGCTAGATTTTATGAATCAAAGTGTAATTGCTAAGCTTTGGCCACATTTCTCAACGCTAAGGCACTCTCTCTTGTGTGCCTTCAGCTGCTTTCCAGACATTCAACACAGGATTAAATGATGGTAGTTACAGTGATCAATAGGTTAAGACCGGTACAATCACTCTTGCCGCTAATGACCTCTGTAGTAATGGGTAATAACGTGTGGGCTATAATAGCTTCTCACTGGTACTGCATGCCCTTTGAATCCTAGTCTTAGGAGGGACTAGTTAGATGAAAAAGTTGGATGCTGGGAGTTAAGGGACAGGCTGTAGTTCTTAATCAATTAAATCCTTAAAAGTATGATCAGATTGTTCTCATTGTTGTTGTTGTTGTTGTCACTGTTGTTTTCTGTCCCACAGATGGTTTCTGGTCCATTTGAATATATCTGTTGAAGCTTTCCACAGGCTGTTTTCATGACATGTTGGAGCAGAAACTTTTGGGGAAATCGTGGTTTTATTACATTTGTAAATTAAGCCTGAGCCCACTTCAGAGACCCAGAGCTTAACTGGCATGAAAATGTGGTTTCAGATAGGAAAAGCAGTGTTAAGGCCATCAGGATACAATAATAATCCATTTCTTTCAAGGTTCGTCGTTCTGTGTGGAGAATTTACTGGGGACTCTTTACCTCTTTCCCTCCCTTAACTAAGCCTGCTGCTTTAAACATTTTATTACTCAAAACAACTTCCATGAACATTTACAAAGGGGCAAAGAAAAAAGGGAGACTCAAGTTTATTTGCGTCTTCTGTCACAGGACTGTGAAAAAAAAATCAATACCTAACTATGAGAAAGGGAGTTAAACTTCTGGCTAGATGTAAGAGTTTACCATTATCTGTTTATAGTGGTTCTTTGTTTGACCCCCTTTCTTACTGGAAATTAAGCCACAGTGGACATTCATGTTTAAGAAGACAGATGCAGTTTTACCTGAAGTCAAAAACAGATAGAGCCCCTAACACCGATTTAACACTGTTTTATACCTTTGTGACTATTTTTGTTGGAATCTTAATTTACAGACAACAGAATACACCCATATTAATTGCACAATGAGGAGAGTTTTGACAGTTGTCTCCATCCACTACTGTCGCCCTAATCCAGATATGAGACATTTCCATCCCCCCAAAAATGCTATATGCCCATTTCTTGCACTGAATTTTCCTGAGCTTTGTAAACAATTAGATCAAAAGTTGTTTGCAGGATGATTTCTATTCTACTTCTGTTAAACTTCTATTCATTACCGGCTTAGATTTTACACCACCCTATTCCTGTCTGTTTTCCTGTTCAGCACCATCAGAAATTTGGCTCAAGAATATTTACATTGTACATAATCCAAGAACTGCAGAGGAAAAAAGAAACCTTACACATGATTCTTTTGCTTGCTTAATCAAACTCCTGTAGGATGATGCAACTCTCAAGGAAAAGTAAACTTCTATTGTGATATATTGGCTTTAGAAGCTCAAGAAATAGTGATTGGTACCCAGTCAATATTTGAAAATTCAAAAAAGTGTCTCATAAGAAGACTGAGTAGACCAGTTGGCGTTAATCTGTAGATAGTGAGATGTTTTGAGATTTTCTCCTTTGTGTTTGCCCTAGACTTCATGCAACTTCGCTGTTCCCATCACTGGTGATATTTTGTGCTGCAGATTATCTTTTTTTTTAAGATAATTTTCCCATTCATATACATCTGTCCTTTTTTGCATAAAAAAAAAAAATCCAGACATGCCCATCTGTTTGAAATTACAGTGTATCTACATCTACACTTAAAAAGTCCACCATACGAAGAATTTGTTGATGTCCGCCCAGGGTTGGGTTAATGAAATTTTTCAGATGTTCTAACCAGTGTTTTCTAAACAATGCAAAACTTGCACATAAACATCCCCCCACACAAAACATGCCCACAACAACATTGGAGGATGTTCACTGTACATGAATCTGACCTTCAGGAACCATTTTTAGTTCATCAAAATTAGTGATGCTGAGAAATCGGGACATCAGTGCATAATGACTGTGAAATTAGGAATGAGAGCTCGCTATGCAAATGACAGGACAAATCATGTGAAAAAGTCAAGATAAACTGCATATTAAGACATTATGTTACATAAAATTAATACTGCATTTCTCCCTTTTGCTTACTGCTCCCCTGAAAGATTTTTTTTTTTTTTGATTCTTTTATCTTCTGATCAGCTATTGTCTGCCAGATTTCTTTTTTTTTTTTAAGTGGCACACAGGCAAAGTGCAAAACATGTTATTACCTTTTATTGTAATACATGAGATGACAGCCGATCCTTTTTAACAAAGTATATCCTTTACCATTCTAGCTTCTTGCTGTCACATGTTGGATTAGAAACCAAAGAAAAGTAAGATGCTTAAATATTACTGTTAGAAGACATATGAGTTTTGTCTTTCCTTTCATTGTTTTTTTTTTTTTTTTTTCTTTTTTTTCCCCTTTCCTTATCTTTTTTAGTGTGGGGGGGTAATTTTTCATGAAATAGTCTTCTTGCATCACGGGGACTGACAAAATGGTTCTCATGTAGTCTGCAAATTAAACACAAGTGCAGTGATTATTTTGAATAGCTAAATTACATTCTAGAAAGCTTGCAGAATTCATAGCATTGTCATTAGGTATCCGCTTGAATACAATTTGTGTAACCTTGGCCAAGACAGCCTGTCATTTTAATGTCAGTGTTTTATCTGAACAAGACATCATCCTTTCAGATGCAGTGTGCAGGTTCCTTGCAGAGATGCCTGTGCAGAAACGTGTTAACAGTTGCAAATATGAAATGCTATCAAGTTCATCACTGTAGCTGTTTGTCACTGAAATGTCATGGAAAACGGCTTTTAATGGTATCACACATAATATAAAAGAATTGAGACATCTGTATGCTGGGTGAATCAGGAAGGGTAAAAGGCGTCATAGAATGGGTCTGTGTTTAAGTTCAGAAGGTGTGGCTAAGGTTCAGTTATGCCAGCACTAAGCATCCATTGATCATTATCAAAATCAGCAGCTCCAGCCATGAAAGTCTCCATTCCCATTTGCCTTCTTTCCTACAAGAAAATTTTAAGTTTAGTTTAACTTCCTGAAGCTCATCCTGTAGCTCATTTTGACTGACGCTTCATTCTTTAGTGAGAAATTGAGATCGTTTTCTTCTCCACTCTGGGTCCCAACGACTAGCGCTCCTGCTCCTTGTCCTACCTGCCACACTACATGTTAATGCTGCCAGGTGTTCTTTCATTTTCTAGTCTTTATGTTTTGTAAACTTCGTGGCAGATGAATAGGATTGTGTGCTTGTGTGTGTGTGTGTGTGTGTGTGTGTGTGTGTGGTGGCTGCATCCCTTCTAGACGGATGCATTTTGCATAGGGAGCTGGTATGTTTCTCTAAGCAGGCTAGTGACAGTGTGCTTGGCTGTAGCTGCGAGGAGGCTGCGGGTGTGAGTTTCCTGGCTTCCTATTTACCCTTCATTAACGTTCTAGGTTCCCGTGTCAGTGGCTATGATGACACCTCAAGTCATCACTCCCCAGCAAATGCAGCAGATCCTCCAGCAACAAGTGCTGAGCCCTCAGCAGCTCCAGGTACTCCTCCAGCAGCAACAGGCCCTCATGCTACAACAGGTAATTGCCCCTCCTCCTCCCCCAGCATCCCAAGCCACCCAGGGCCCATCACACTGTAGCGAGCTCCCTGCCCTGGCGCCGCCTTTCTTCCCATGGAAGAGTAAGTGGAGCCTCCTGGGTGGGGCAAGGCAGGCACAAGACTGGTCCCTAAGGAAATGGATGGCATTTGCATCCCCGAAATCGAGGAGCCTTGCCAGTTGACTAGGGTTTGGGCCTGGAGAGGACCCGATGGACTGAGATTAGGGCTGTAATTGGCCTTGGTAGAACGAAGATCTTTTAGGCTTACGTGGCTTTAGTGTCTTTTATTTGGTAAGCCTAGAGGCTTCCAAATGGTGTGAATCAAAGCAAAGTGAGGAGCACGTTGGGAGCAGGTTTAAGTATGACAGCTCTTGAAGTCCCCATTGCAACTCAGAGGCACATTGTAGAGTGGTGGTGGTGGGTTTGTTTTTCTTCCCCCTCCTCGACATAAAGACACATTTTGGAGTTGGTTCATTTTAAGACACAGAGGTGATTTCGCTTCTTCCATTTGTGCTGATGCTGAACTGAGCACCTAGCTAATGTTCTGCAGTGTAGCCTTCCTTCTCAGCCTTACTGGGCACCTGAGCCGAGTACATGAGACCCAGAGTGATGGTGGCGGCAGCTGCTCATCTTTGGGGGTTGGGGAGGGTAGCTGTGCAGTGGGAGCTACACCCACGCTGTTGATGCAGACAAGGAACACCACTCCATCCCGCGCACCAACCCTATCATTTAATAGAAAACCTGCATCCGTCTTGCCTTCGAGATTCACTAGACTCTCTCTCTGCAAGGACATTTTGGCTTTGTTGTTACAATCAAAGGTCATCCCTTGCCTTATTTTAATTAGTTTGTGTAGAAAATGGTATGTTTTTCATCAGTTCATTTTGGAGATTACTTTTCAAACAATAATGCCAAGAATAGTCAGTTGTGCGCGGAATTTATTGTCGAGTTTCAAACTAAAGGTCAAGCCATTACAGATAAAAGGATGCTATTTTTCAAGTCACAGTTTGGGTATGGCACTGAAAGGGGGCCGGGGACGGGCGCTACCCTCTGTTGATTACCGTCCTCTCTTTCCTTTGTAGCAGCAGCTTCAAGAGTTTTATAAAAAACAACAAGAACAGTTGCAGCTTCAACTTTTACAACAACAACATGCTGGAAAACAGCCTAAAGAGGTACCGACAATACGTATTTTACTTTCAAACCACAGATCCCAGAGGACTCTACCCAGTGTCTATTAAAGTGCCATTCATCTTTTAAATGATTGCACAACTCAGCTGATTCTATCGCTTCTCCGATTTCAGGCAGAGAGTTACTGCCCTGTTTTGCTCCGATTTTTCTGACTTCTGTTTGCTTCCTGCCACATATTTTATGACACCACTGCACGTGTACCTTGGATGAACATGGGGCAAGGGATCTTGGGTAGGACGGTCAGGGCTGCTTTTGCAGACTGGCCCAGAGGAGAATTCGGACATGGCCTGGAGGAAATTGAAGGCCTTGTAGTATACTATTCCACTTGGGTGCACGTTCTTTTTTCTTTCTTTCTTTTCCCCAGCTCAGATACTTTAGGTGTCTGTCCATGGCTCTTTCCATCTTGCAAAGGTGGACAACCAAACAAAACAGTTAGAACAAGATTAAATAGCCCCCCACCCTTTTTAAAAAAAAAAAAAATCATCTTCCTGCAAATTGAACACATCGTAATGGTTAAAGTCATGATAACTTAAGTTTAAAGTAAGAGAGGAGTCAAGATTATTTGGGGTTTTTACTGGGGGGTGGGGGGGTGCATGTTATTATCGTATGGGCATGGACTTTTAAAGCTTCCTTAGGTTAGTGTGTTAGGCCATGCCACCCAGTTAGGTGAGACCATTAGCCCCATAAATAATCAGTTAAACCAAAAGTGGGTTTCTGCTTCACCCTCCTGATACTTTCTGGCATGTGGTTGAGGCCCGGTCTGTTGTGTTCAGTGTGTGTGTACTGTGTCCACTTCTGACATCTTTGTCCCCTTCCCCAAAGTTAGCTGATTTGACTTGCCTCCTCGCAGTCCTCTGAATCTCTTTTCATCCAAGTGTTCTAGGAATGTCATAATTGATAATTCAATAAAGGACGCCTAATTGCTTCTTTGCCGGCCCTCAGCAGGCCGCCACTTGTGTTAGTTTTCAGAACACATTTACCCAGACTCCTCTTTGCATCCCTGTCTTTCACATACTGGGCAGGGCCCAAGGCTTTCCCCTTGCCACTTCTACCCCCCCAGCACAAATTGGGTGCATTTTCCACATGCTGCCAAGTTTTTTCAGCCGGGTGTCTGGTCTAGACAGCAGCCTGGATAGAAACCCCTGCAGAGTAGGGGCAGTTTTGGGGTGAAGGGAAAGGGGCTTTCATGAAAATGCTGACCCAACCTTAAGTACAGTGGCTCGCTCCTGGGTACTGCTACAATAAAAAAGGGAACAGATTAAAAAGTGTCTAAAATGTAAATCTAAAGGACTAACAGTAATTAAAATGGAAATGGCGCAGGGAGGGAAGGCATGTAATTGTGAGATATCACTGTGCAGAAAGCTCTCAGCTTTGTTTTGCTGGCTGTTTCTCTAATTCAGCAGGGCTTACTCATCAGTGGCTGTTCAATGTGCGTTAATGACTCTGGGATTGCAAGCATCACTCTGGACAAAGAAATGATGATTGTGCGGTCAAAAGAAGTTCAAAGACAAGAAGGGAATTTCAGTTTTTTCCTTAGAGATCCACATTCAAGAGCATATAAATTAAGCCAAATGTTAAAAACCACAGTCTGAAAGCTGACTTCAAAGTCACAACTCTCTAATTAATGAACTGCGAGCTTCAGTTTGGACAAGTTGTGGTTTGATGCGCCCATAAATCAACATGACAGGCCTGTTTCACAGTCTCAGACAGTGCTTGTCATTGAGCTACATCAGATGTAAACACAGCAGAAAAAAGAAGGGATATGAAGGAGGTGCAATTGATCAACAGAATTGGTAAAAACCCACTTTTGAAGCACATTATGCATGATCACAGGAAATGGTTAGAGCCTCAAGAGGTTTCCCCTTCTGCTGTTGTTTTTTTGAATCAGATCTCTAACAGCCTTCAAAAGGGAGAGTAAGAATTATGGAGTTTCTCCCCTGTGGCTTGCAGGCAATAACCCCCTGTTGTTGTTTTGTGCTTCTTTCTTTTCAAAGGCATCAAAATTTAGTTTTTTAAAGATCTTTAACTCTATATTTGAAGACAAACAAAAAAGGGCTGCCACTGCCATTCTTATCAGTTACCACGGATTGTGTTTTTCCTTTCTGTTGCCACTTCTTATTAACCTCTTATTTGGTCTGTGAGAGACATAGTTTGGAATGCGCATCTGCATGCTGGGAGAACATGAAAGTTCAGATGAGCTCAGAGGGCAGAGAAAGAAATGGGAAGGGGAAAGTTACCCAGCAGAAGGAAGGATCAAAGTTAATTCTCGCAAATTGCTGTTGTCAGGAAGGGGAGCATCCCAGGAACACAAAGATGATGGAAATGTCAGAGATGGGGAAGAAAAGGGAATACTTCGAATATGACTCTGTGGTAGCATTTCACCCGGACACTAAGTTAGCTGTGGGAATGCTCATTTTGACATCCGTTTTGCAGGTAGAGGGGACAATAACTATATGCTGCATTCAGTATCCTTAGACATAGGCAGAGCAGTGGACAGGTCTCCTTAGAGTTCACTGTGTGTTCATTGTGTCCTTGGGTTTGGTCGTGACCTGTTGTAACAATGGCTGCTGGTGGTGTTAAGTACTGGCCAGTCATCCTGACTCATAGTGACCCTGTATAGGGTTTCTGAGGCCTGGCAGGTGAGCTTGAACCGCCGACCTTGTGGTTCAAACCTACCCTGAGTTCTACTTCTTATCTATCCTACAGCACACCGCTCTAGGACTCCAAAAGTGGCTATTGTTAATTTCCTTTATTGAGGGAGATAGACTCCTGAAATTACCTTGCAGGTGGTGGCCCTTTTGTGCGCTAATGAAATAGTCACATGGTAGCAATTTCATGATGTGGACTGGTCATTATGATTTTAACAAGGTTTGAACTTGGCTGTTGACAGATGGAACAAGTATATTAATTTATTGAATCTCCAAGTCATTAGTGGCTCTTAATTTTGATCGCCAGGTTGTTCCTTATTTCCCCCCCCTCCTATTCACCTCTTATTTTTTTCCCCTTTTTAATTAGAATACCTGACTCTCCGTCAGAGCAATATACCTTTACTCTTGTCTTTTTTTCTGAAAGTTGAATTGAAAGGTGAAAGTTTGGTCCCACATTGAGGTCTTTCTTAGAAGAGAAGATGCTCTTGGACAGGGAGGGTCATGTAGCCCCGTGCAGCTATTGAAGCAACTGCTCGTTTATACTGGACAGAGCTGCAGTGGAAAATAGATTGCAGAATTAATTTTAAATCAAGCGACAAGAAAGATCTCATCCTGCGCGGGTGAGCTAGACGAAGCTGATTGTTTTAGAAGGGCCGTTTGTCCCGAGCAGTTATGACAGTTTATGTTAGGCAGTAGGGAGTAGCCAAAGAAAGGAAAACAGACCTTTGACTTCAGTTCTAGGGAGGGGATCCGAAATGCAAGGTTTATCAGGGCATTTGAGCATTTTAACACTGAGGACTGACCTGTCCCAGGGACTGCATGGAGACCTTTTTTGTATGCGTTCAATTGTGAGAAGTAAACAAACGGGCTCGTATCCTGTGTTTGGTAACTGGGTGGGGAGCACAGTTTGGCAACCAGCTTTGCTTTTAAATTCTTTCTTTGGACAATGGGCCTTGTATACTTTTATATCCTGGCTTTTCAAACGTGGAGAGCTTTCATGAGCTTTTCCTAGGGATAGCTGCATAGACAACAGAAAAGGCATCATTCATTTTATATAAATACAGGATTTTTAAACATTGCATTTACAGTTAGACAGGAAATACCCTCCCCAACCTCCAGTCCCCCCACCCTTATATTCTACTTCAAGAAGAGCTCATTCTCTAATCTTTTATATTAGGTCACACTGCCGGTTGTTCCTCCCCCCCCCCCCTTTTTTTTTTTTTAAATGTGAATTAATATCTGTTGAAGAAGTGAAAAAATCATTTTGACATGAATATAACTATCATTGGGTTTTACATTAATATGATAACTTGGGAAGGGGTGAAAACAATTGGATCATTTTATGCATGCTGTTCTTAAAATGAAAACACTGGCTTTTCATTTAAATTTATTTAAATTTTTGTTGTTAGTGGTATAGAATTTGTTTTTTGGAGTGAAACTCAATTAACTTTCTCAGTGGCATGGTAGTGAGTCTGAAATTGGTTGCTAATATGAGAATGATGGTTTTAACTGTAAGATAAACTACATGGAGATGGAAAGGAACCCATCATTTTTCTCTTCCTTTGAACTGGGCATCACAAGGTCTTAGTACCTAGGTACCATTTGATGGGTATTGGAGGTACAGGTCATGCAGTAGGGCAAGTGAATGAAGTTGTTGGTAAAGTGTAGTTCTGAAACAGAGCATAATGTTCTGAGTGGGTTGGATAGTCGTACAGTTGCTGAACTCCTCTGTAATGGTCTGAATAATTCTTAGAATTAGGAAAGTCACTCTTTTTTTTTCTTGAAGAATTGATATGTTTTGGGGGTTAGAGTTTGGGAAGGGTTAATTTTTTCTGTTGGTAATTGTTAACCATCATGTGGCTCAGAACTCCACCTTGATAGGATTCCTAGCAGATTAAGGATATTAGATAATTTCCTCCTATTTATTGTACTACTGTGTATTATCTTTCTATCACTCAGATAATTACTAAGGAAATCTACATTAATTTTTTTTTTTTTTTTTTTTGGGTGGAGCAAGGCCTGCTAAACACAGGCATGATGTATTGATGTTTTACACAACAAAAGTTTTCCTCTTGTCATTGTTCAATCAACAAAAAGATATTTGTCATATCAAAAAGCCCTTCTTTTTAAGAACAAAGTGGGTGAAGGGGAGGTAGGACAAGCCACTAGACCTAGGGGTTTCTGAAACTAAAGCCAAGTTCAGGCGTTTGAAGCTGAAAGTCGCGCTCATATTACTAAACACTTCCAGTCAAGTACGGTGTTGTTTGCTAAATTATTAATGTGTGTAATTAAAATCTAGTGGCTGTTTCTATGAAAGATTTACAATGTTATTTCATCGTTTGTCATGGCTAATTAACAATATTAGATGAAGTTTTTCTTCTTCAAAGGTCTGATTTTTTCTCATTTATTTATGTCAGAAGTGATAAACAGAGTAGTTAAAAGCTTCTGCTAGTGCATTTAGGAGAAAGGCAACTTGTTATTGTACACCTCCCAAGTTCAGGGTTCAAATCCCTCCTGACAGGTGCCTCACTGATCTCTTTCTAGCATAAATAATTGCAGCTCGAAAGACATCAGTGAAAACGAAAGTCCAAATCACAGGTGTGGCACTACAGAATAAATACGAGACTGGCAGATGCAGGGTTGGCAGTTCAAATTCACCAGCCGCTCTCAGAAACTCCATGCCAGGTTCACTGTGAGTCGGAACCGCCAGGACCGACAGGATAACATACAACACTAACAACCTCAGAAGTTGACATCATGATTGTAAAACTCAACCTTCCCACAGTGCAGGGACAGCTGGCTTGATGAAGGTGATGTGTTTTCAGTGGAAGCAGGTACCCTCGCACCTCTTCGTGCCTCATAGGTGACATAGTCTGTCCCTTTGAAGCCAGTCTCAACACTGAGCCTGTCCCTAAACTCTGGTGACTGTTGTCAGTTCTTTCTTGATGATGAGCGTGAGTTTGGAAACATCCATCTTTCTGACTTCACCTTGGAAGTGGCCATCTCATTTTCACCCCCTTCTACTTGATTTCTTAACAGCAACAGCAGGTGGCTACCCAGCAGTTGGCGTTTCAACAGCAGCTTTTACAGATGCAGCAGTTACAGCATCAACACCTCCTGACTCTGCAGCGCCAAGGCCTTCTAACCATTCAGCCTGGGCAGCCTGCCCTTCCCCTCCAACCTCTTGCTCAAGGTAGGTACCAAAAGGCACAGCTGTGTTAAGACTGGGCAGGGATGGGCCATGTCTGCTGGTGTACTTCAACTCTTCGTGAAGGAAGCTGACCACAGAAAGCATGCGTACGGAAACGGAAAATGAAGCTGACTGAGATGTCATGTTGGATCCTTGGAGACAGACGTTCAAGTACTTGCTGATGCCCAAATGAAGACCAAGGTGGTCTGAAAGACCTAGTGATCACCCTTATCTAACTGTGGCATGTTCTTGGAGTAGGGGAGTGAAATACTACGAAGTCGTACATATGTATTAGGCACTTTAATTGAACCATCTGGCCTTTTCTGTTGTGAGTCGGCTAACGAAATCTCTCCAAGACTGTCTTAGTCATTTTAAGATTTATTTTAAAGCATAAAATATAACTTATACTAGTTTAAACCTTTGTAATATTTTCTAATACCCCCTTCCGTTTTTTAAACATCTAAGGAGAAATAAATACAGGCTTGTTTTTCTGTGAGCTATTAAAATCAATCTCTTTTTGTTACAAAAGCCATCATTAATGGGGGCTTTTGGTAGATAGCTTGGTTTTCTTTCTTTATGCCCCCACTTTTTCTCTTTTGTTAAGAATAGACTGTTGGTTTTGTACAAGTTAATGCTGTGCTCATCATAACAGGAACCATTCCCACCTCTAGTGTGACTAGAAACTGGGCTTCACTGGAAAGTAACAAGATGCCTTGGATGTTAGTGTCAATTACCTTATAAACCATCAATATTTTATTCCAAGAGTGTTGGACATCAGGGACCAGTGAGAACTGTAGCTAATTGTAGAAATCCTCTTATTCATGCAACTCCGAGTTTCGCAAGTGATACGTGAAAGCAAGTGGGTTATTCAGAACTAGAAGGGAGACAGACAGAGAGAAGAAGAACAGGGCACGCATGACCATGCTGTAGAATACAGACTTTCATCCTTTCATGGAATGGAAGCTTTCAGGTGCCTCCTCAAGGTCCCCCAAAGTTTTCAGTTCCCATGCATTTGAATGTGTGTACTTATATGCTGTAGAGGCTGAGACGAAAAGCCCTTGGTGTCTTGGATTCTATTGCTTTCTGAAGAAGGTTGAGAGTGTAAACCTCCTCCACTTTCATGTTGCTTAAAACATGGTCATTTTGGTGTGAGATGATTCCAGTGAGAGACAAGCCTGCATATGAATTCCCTCTGTTGAGCCAGCCACACCCAGCTTCTCTCCCTTTTGGATTTTTTCTTTCTTTCTTCTTTTTTTAAAAACCAGGGCCGGGGGCTCTTTTCCCCTTCCCTTCTCTCTTGCCCTTCCTCTCATTTCCGCCATCCGTGCTCAAATGCATGCTACATAATCAGCATCTCCATCTCCTCCGTTGCTGTCAAAATACAAGAGTTGGTAACTGAGCAGTGCGAGGGGGGGCGGGGGGTGGGGCTAAGAAAGGCCACATCGGCTACTGCATTTTTTGTGCTTGCCAAATGTTGTAACATGCATTAATTACACCTTCGGGTTTATTGTTGGAAACATGGCAGGCTGTTCTGGCACACCCACTAGACTCAAGCTTCAGCCTCTCTCATCTTTTCCCATCGCTCCTATACTATTAAGTTTGCTCACTAAGGTTCATTGTTATAGTACATCAGTTAAGCTGTCCAAAAGAGGGCAATTGGGCAGTGACAAGACAAGCTCATGTGTAATGTGAAAGAAATGAATGTGGTGATGCATGAAGTGTAATCTCTGCAGTAACATATCAGAGACACTGGTAGGTAATTCACTAGTCATGGCATTGATTGATATACCTAGCAGTCTGCTATAACGATTAGCCCTGCAACATTAGGAAGAAGCATATTTAAAATACAACCAGTGCCTGTATGTATACCCAAGATCGGATCCAGGTAAATACAAAGACTTGGGGAGTAAGTTTCTTGCAGTGAAATGAACTACCTGTGTCATTGCTATCCTCTGTGAATCTGGAGATTGGTTTCATGCCCCCGCCCCATGCCCAGAGTGAATTCAGTCATGTTGGACTACAACACAATTTTTTTTTTTTTTTTTTCCTTTTATCATCAGAGAGATGATGGTTTAAAACTGATGTCATTATGAGGTTTAAATCAACTTTCTGCTTGCTTGAACATAGCCACCTGGGTATGGATGTACAAGGACAAAAAAAGGTTGATCAACTCTGTTTGTCTTTGAGCCAGTAATACCTGGGTTGTAAAATTGAGTTCCACGAACAGTAATCTGTCAACTGTCCCCATAACATACATTTTTTAAACCTGGGCCTGCATTTTCTTTTTTAATGAAGGGGCCAGTTGTCCTGGGGAAAAGAAATGTAGCAAGACTCAAGGGTTATGCCTTTAAAAATCTGGCTGTGTTTACTTCATAATAAAATGATCAAGATTTTTTTACGTACCTGGTCTGCATCTTGGGTAGGTGAGCTTAAACATGTATGAAAATATCAACATACGGACTCCCAGTGTGGTGCTGTGGGTTAATGCGCCAGACTGCAAAGCTGTTGGAACTGCAAGGTCAGCGGTTCAAGCTCACCAGCAGCTCCTCAGAAACCCTATACAGGGTCACTGTGGGTCAGAACCGACTCGACGGCACTTAACAACTTTTTTTTTTTTAAAGAGTAATATTTTAAAGACCTTGATTTTTTTTCTGAAGGGTTTATGTTAAGAACTGGAGAGATTTAAAAGGTATTTTTTAGAGGGGGTTATAGTTGAGGCTTCTCTCTTTTACATAATCAGCATATGTGTTTTTCACTGCTTTGTCTTGACATCACCTGGGCCTTCTCCAGCACTAGTAATTTCATATAGAAATGTATTCTAAATACCATTCTGGCCTTTTCATTTGTACAGTGCTAAACTATCAATAGAAAATCTTACCTCCATGATTACCTGCCTGCTACCACTTTTGTTGAACCTTTACTAACTTGCTTTACCAATCTGGGAGAAATGCTTGCTTTCTGCAAATTTGATGTCCGTACAGTCTGAGTGCCTCGCTTACCTGTCTTAATTCTGTCACTAGATCTCACTGTCAAATCACAGCACGCTTGGGGAGGTAGTACTCAGTGAACTCACAGTTTGAGCATCACTGGCAAGATGAAGCAGTGATGGAGAGAGTGCTCTGTAATTGGGCTGAGAAGCTCCTTTTATACAAGCAATGATCCCACTGAAGTTTGATGCACGAAGCCAGCTATCGGCCCTCAGCTTTTTTATTTATTTATTTATTTATTTATTTATTTATTTTACCGTTTATCCCAATCTGAAACAGATTAGCTGGCTAGCCCATTGGAATAAAAGGAGATTATTCTTGTTAAGTGCCATCAAATCCGACTCATAGCTATCCTGTATAGGATTTCTGTGACAAAATCTTGGCCGGAACAGGAAGTCTCATCCTTCTCTCCTGAAGCAGCTGGTGGATTTGAACTGTTTACCTTGTGGTTAACAGTCCAGTGTTTATCTTAACAATGCCACAGTCCCCCAAAGGGTATTGTTAACTCTGCAGATGTAACAAGTGGTAAATGCTTTTTAATGACCACTTTCCAAGTCCTGCTATCCTCAGAGGGACAGTATTAACATAGTTGTTATAACTGTGTGCTTCCTGTCTTACCTCCCCCCATGCAAAAAAACCAGGACTGTCAAGTGGATTCCGACTCTTAGCAACCCTCCCTCCACCCAACTGACCCAGAAATCAATTCACTTGAGTTGAAAAATAGCGGCTTGTTCTGTTCCTATGTGTTTACTCCTTACAAAATAAAAATAGGTGTCGACTTGCGTGGTTTTATATCAATATGGTATCATCAACAGACGGCAAGCCTATTCACTATTGCTTCAATTGAGTAAACAGTGGTCGGAGGGTCAGCCACATTCACAGGTAATTGTTAGTGTGCAGACAAGGCTGGCAGGCCTGTTAGCTCCAAACATAGCCCGCATGTCACTTCACAAGGTGTTGGAAAATAATAGCCCAGATGCAGCAAAACCGGACATAAGATTGTGTAGTGACCTTTCCCTTTGTGTAATTTGCCTCTGAGCTTTAATTTCAGGGGACAAGTAATAATTGAATATGCCTAATAACGAAATGCTCATTTGGGACAAAAATCCATCAAAAATATAATTGGCATTTGATTTTTATGAAGGGAGAAGTAACCCGACTTGGCTGTCGAAGATGGCGTTCTAAGACTTATCTGACCACAGCTGAAGCCTCCTTTAAATATATATTAATTGCAAATACTTGAGCATTTGGACATTTTGGAGGAGAACCGTTAGGGAGAGACCAACTGTTTTTGTTAACGCTACTCTCAGAAAGGCGGGGGAGGTTATTGGTCTGCTGTGCAATAATTTACTCCTCTTTGATATGCAAACGATCCACGGTGAATATAAAAAAATCCTATCAGACTCATTTCACAGTTCTTAACCACTCGGATTCTCTGGAGCCCATTGCCTCATTAGACCATTGCTCTTCAATGCTAGCATAATTAAAGTCTTTAACAGTTTAGCAAAGTAAAGATGTTTGGCTGATCACGTTGAGATGATTATCTAACCAGTGTATTCTCAATGACAAAAAATAAATTAAATTTAGACCTTGGCATTTTTTATTATGTGTTTCAAATGAATATAACGCACACAGCCTTCTTTTTAAATTCAATACCTGAGGTTTGTTAAGAAACATGCCCGTTTCGGCTGCTGCACTATAGTCAGAAAATGGCAGGCTTTCTAGGAGAGCTATGCTACAGTTGATTGAAACAATGAATTGCAATCCAGATGTCCAGTTCTAATGTGGGATTGCTTTATGATGTTCAGGGTTTGTGAATATTTTCGGGTTCTAAAGAAGTTGCCGTTGTTTCTTTGTGCTTAGTGGCCATTAAGAATATATATTTTTCCCCTCTAGTGCACGTATGCTCTAGAGTGTGCATTGAGGTGGGATTTGGAAATCTTGGGCTGTTAAGACATGCCCCCAGAATAAAGGTTAAGAGGCTCACAATAGTGAGATTGACATCCTGATTATATCTCCTCTTGGGGAAATAATAGGTCTGCACTTAACTCCTTCAAATCCATGTCCATGTTGACCCCTTTAAAACAGAAGAGAACTTTATTACTCCCAAGTTTATTGTACGTTTTCGTTTCGTTCTGAAATGGTTCATTAGCATTGATCTAAGAAATGACAGTAATAATAGTGTTACTTGTATTAAAAAAGTTAGGCAGTTTTTCAGTAGACACATCCATCAATTAAGCGTGCGGTGCTGGAAACCAAAATTAATGAGGAAGATAGGTGTGTTAATGAAATAATCATAGTATAATCAATTTGACTGTTAAAAGTTGAAAAGCATTTCAGGAAGACGAAAGGAATTCATAATTTATGTCTAAAAGTGATTAATAAAAACTATATTTAATAACAAAGCTATTTGTCATCATTTAAGGCTTAAGCCCCCAAATTATTCATTTTGTGGTTCATGTTGTCATAATAGCAGAGTTGAATAAATTTATTTTGAGCCCTTTTTTGTGTCTGAAAATAATATAACATCTATGTACATTTTTGGTACTAGGTTTTTTTTTTTTTTGGGGGGTTTTTTGCCTTCCAAAATTAGAAGCAACAGAGAACTGTGTTGGGTTCCTTTACTCAAGCCTATTATATGGGTGATGGGAGCACTTCAGCTCAGCCACTCAGTCGGAGGACATGGTTATTACCATATTTGCCTGAGTTGGGAGGAGGGAAAAAAACAAAAAACTGCATACGCACACATGCGCACACACGGGAACCCCTAACTAACACTAGGCTTTGTTTACTGACTCTTTGATTTAATTACTGTTTGAAGAGGACGGAATTAGCTGTTAATTGATTTAATTATCCAATTTGTTTGTTTCAGGCATGATTCCAACAGAACTGCAGCAGCTCTGGAAAGAAGTGACAAATGCTCATACTGCGGAAGAAACCACAGGCAACAATCACAGCAGCTTGGATCTGACCACGACATGTGTCTCTTCCTCTGTACCGTCAAAGACCTCCTTACTCATGAACCCACATGCCTCTACAAATGGACAGCTCCCGGTCCACACTCCCAAAAGAGAAAGGTAGGGACCAGCCACTGAGATGTGGCCAAAGCTGTCTTTAACATGGACGGATGAGTGGGCCTGCCGGTTCCTTGTCTCAACAGCCCCAAATTGGATCCATGAGACTCGAATGTGCGCACATTTACCTAAGATTGCATTCAATATATATTGTGGGTGTTGAGCATCTAATTAGTCTCATCTTTTCAACATGGGGTTAGAACTCGTATAGATCTACCCTATGCTTAGGAACCCAGGCCACAGTCAATTTATCATTGGATGGGTTGGATTTCAAGGCTTCCAGACGTATTCTGCCTGCCAAACGCTCACTCCGTACAAGCTGAATTCTTTGGCTGTAAATGCCTCTGAAGAGAGTAGTGGTGTCTGCTGTGGGCAATTTGGAATCACACTTTGAGAAAAGATAGAACTTGATTTACTCTACAGTGTTTTGCTTGAATGCAGGCATCTCATCTTTTTCATGCTTGTATCCCCCAAGTACATGAGCTTCTTCATGCTAGGTACTCCATAAAGGTCTAAAGAATAGAGACTTAGTATAGATAGAACACAGCCCAGTTTCTCTTGATCATGAGGATTGTAGGGTTTCTGAGGAGCAGGTGGTGGATTTGAACTGGTGACCTTGTGCTTTGCAGCCCGCTGCTGATTTTACAGCGTCACAACAGGAGGGCGATCATGGACTATATTGTAGTGTTGTCCTGAGTAATTCAGCTCTATTGTAGCATCAGCTCTGCTGCTGCGTCATGGTTTGGAAGTTGAAAGTTAATACTTCACAGGAGTGTAACATATTGATTCTTCTAAAATGAAAAAAAAAAAAAAAGACACACAACAGTAACTTTGTTTTCAGTTTGTTTATTTTAAAACTGTGCCCTATTTATTTCACTGCAGTGGTGGGTTTTTTTGTTTTGTTTTTTTATTTGGCAATTATGTGATAGTTTACATGGGAGAACATCAGCTTTACATTCATCCTATTGTATATCATTTCATTGCCATGGTTACAATCTCCTCCATGCATCATCAACCAACCAAAGGGTATACACAAGCCTGCCCCCTAATCGTCAGCACACAGCCCCTCTCCCTCTCTGGGTCTAGAGTCCCCAGCTGCTCCATCTCTCCACGTCATTGTCTCTGCCTCCATCTATGACTCTGATGTCACTGTTTCTCTGGGTACGGTCCCGCACACCACTCTTCTCCATTGATGGTCCCAGGGACCTCCACTCCTGGACTGCAAAGTCAATCACTCCCCTCCTTTTGCTACAAAACATCCACCTTTCCATTTCCAACCCTCACAGTCAGTTCTGATAACAGTTATTCACTGTAGTACCACAAGAGACCTATCCCCATCTCCTTTCAACAGCCCCGCCCAGACAGATTGGATACTACTCAGTGGAGATTCTACCTTCCTCTGCACCCTCTGGATCTAGATTCCCTCTTGAAAACTTGTAAGCCAGTCACTTCTTACCTTTGTAGGCCTCTTCCCCCACCTCCCCCCCATTTTGTGTAGCCAGTGTCCAAGTTGCCCATCTCTGTATACTCTGTGTATGGAGGGGGGTGGGAAGGATCCTTGCTGTAAAGATTTGTTCCCTCTTTTGAGCAACTTCATCCATAGGTGTAGGTCAAGTTCATCAAATTGTATCAGATTATTCTTTTTTCCCTCTTCTTTTAGTTGAGCTCTGATCATCCAGTCATTGAAGCCAGGTTAAGTGGGTGTTATTTGCAAGTGTGGGTGTTCATGTGCATGTGCTCTCTCTTATCAGCTGGACATTTCACTTTCCGCTCTAGTCCTCTGTGGCTATGTCACTGACAAGCCCAAGAGTCCCCAGGTCTTGCCACACTGCTGGCCGACCAGGTCTCCACCCGGGTTCACAGGAGTCTTTTGAACGTTGTAGGGCTTAGCTTGCAGCTTCATTGCTGTTTTTCCCTTGCTTCCCCTTATTGGTGACAAACGTGGTCACCAATCACAGCGTATATTCCCACTGAGTCTTAGTCTTGGAAGGGGGTTTGCCCTGAGGGGACCCGACCACATGCCTTGATGTTTCCTGGGCGAGCAATTTGCTTGTTCTTAGTAATCAGTCAGACTGCCTATATTGTTTTGTATTTTTCCTGTTGGTATTTCTTTCAAGAAGTATCTTCTGTTCTTTTAGCCGCTCTAGGCTGGTCTGCTTGTCCTTTCAAGTGGAAATTTACCACCTCAGAAGATTCTGTATGTGATTCAGGATTTCACCTATGGCCTTACGTAATGCAGAGGCTCCGCTAGGCATGTTGTAGCCCCATTTTAGGTATTCCAATCAGTTATAGGCAGAAGACAGACTTACTAGCTTTCTATGGTGTCTAGTTTATAATAGCATGCCAGGGAAACCAAGATTCAAAAGACAGCCAAGCATCTTAACATTATTTCCCCCTCTTCCCCATTCCAACCGTGTCTCAATCCCTGTAAACCAGAGCCCTGTTGTCCCATTATGTACCTCTGTCCCACTTAGCCCATGCAGACTTGCCTAATTATTTTCCCATCTGCCATGTTCTTCCATTCCCCTTCCCCTTCTTGTATATTGCTCCCCTCCCTAGAACCCAAACTATCCTGTGTCTGTTCCCTATCCTGTGCTCCACCTTCCCCTCCCTCCCCTCACCCCACTTACTACCACAGTCTGGTAACCAGCAAAGAATCCCTCCCCCTCCCTTTAGTATGGGTTCTTCCCTTAGTCTTTTACAGTAGTGGTCCTATGCAGTAGTTCTCTTTTTGTGACTGACTAATTTCACTCAACTTAATGTCCTCGAGGTTCATCCATGTTTTGCGGTGGCTTGCAGCTTCCTTGTTATTCTTCAAGGTAGCATAGTATTCCATTGTGTGTATGCACCACAGTTTGTTTATCCATTCTTCCATTGATGGGCACTTTGGCTGTCTCCATCTCTTTGCTATTGTAAATAGTGCTACTATGAACATTGGTGTGCATGTATCTACTCCTGTTATGGCTCGTTTTTCTTGTGGGTAAATACCAAGTAGAGGAATCGCTGGATCATAAGGTATTTCTATTTCCAACCTTCTGAGGAAGCGCCATATTGCTTTCCAGAGAGGTTGGACCATTTTGCAATCCAACCAGCAGTGACGTGCAGGGCTTTTGTAAACACGGAAAAAGAATCCTTAAAAGTAATACGTTGTAATCAATGTTGATTCCATCAGGGAAAAAGCAAATTCTGTGTTTTTTTAGTAAAGGTGACTCAGAGGAGACTTTTTATTATATTTTTCATGTAAGCGACCACAAATCACAGTTTTTAAAATACTGAAGATTGAGAAGCCCACCTGTTTTTAGTAAGATGTGTACCTTTGTAGTAATCTTTAAAATCTCAACAATTTGGAGATTAGTAAAGCTCGCCAGCTGCCCCTTGGAAACCCTATACAGGGTTGCTATGGGTCGGAATGGACTCGGTGGCACATAACAGTAACAACAATCATAGGAAATAGCTGGGAAATCACAAACACACAGACCTCTGTGACAGTCAAAACCCATCCGAGGTACCCTGTTTTTACAGGTCTCCTGGAAAATATTTGCATTTTCCATCTCTGATAGGTTTCTGCCTTATACATGTTTCATCTGTCTCCAGTCTTACTATGTATGTTGTGTGTGTTTGTGTGTGTGTGTGTGTATAACATTTAAGTGTAAAACCACAAGAGGTTTCCAAATGTATGGATCATATATGGAGTCTTGGTGTGGCACTGTGGGCTAATACATCAGACCGCAAAGTCATTTGAACGGCAAGATCGGTGGTTCAAGCTCACCAGCTGCTCCTTGGAAACCCTATATAGGGTCACTATGGGTCCGAATCACCTCGACAGCTGTTAATAACAACAGCAACAATATGTGTTTAGACCACACTTGCCACTACCCATTTCAGATAGTTTAGGAACTTCTTTCTGTGACAGCTCTAAAAAGAACTCAAAGATGGTATAAAACTAATTGTTTCAGTAGAGAGCAGAGAAGAGAATAGTGGCTAACAGGCTTCCCTTTGGAGCCACTGAATACAATTTAGCTTTTGTTTATCCCTGTAAGCATAGATAAGTATGTCTGAAGGTCAGTCTTGGCCCTTGCCTTACAATCTCTGATGTGTCTTTGTCTTTTTTTTTTTTTTTAACCGAGATCATTTTAAAGAAAAGGTTCTGGGCTGTTCTTTGTTGTACCTGCTTTTGCTGTCCTAAGGTTGGTGCCACCCATTTACTTGCAGAGTGATTAGATTCCATCTTTGTCCACAGGCAGAGCAGGGGCCATAGGCTAGAGAGTGCCGATGGGTGCACTTCAGGTATTGGTTGCAATCTCGTCAGTCCTTGTGGAGCCTGTACAGATATCCTGAGACTCAGAAAACTCTTCTTGTTGAGATGCACCGTGCTCAGTTTCATTCTAAAAGGTTTATATATATATATAAAGAGTGTGAGAGAGAGACAAAGAGGAGTCAGGTGATAGGTTCGCTTTGAGGCAAGCAGGAATGGAATAGTCCTTTTCACATATAAAGGCACATGTAAGAATAAAGGGATCCAAGAGATAGTCTGACTCCTGATGACTAAGTTTGTTTGATTTTTAATTTTTTTAATCGTTCCTTATTTGTCCGCACGAAAGTTGGGTTTAATCTTCACTATGCTACCTGTCAAAATTAGAATATGGATCAGAAAAGAATTCAGATGCTAATGACTCTTACCCAACCTGATACGGAGCACAACACACAAAAAAAAACACAGGCTGAGTCTCCCAGCTAAGGAAGAAGAGACTGCGCAATTATGTACCACTGTTTAATTTTTGACTCTCTTAGTTGGTGTTATCTGTTATGTTCTTAGACATGCCTGGATGAAAAGAAAGTTTCAGTCTGCACATTTAAAGTGATGCAGCCCACGAGACAAATGAGCAGTCTGGGTTTCAGATAGTTCAAAGGTTTAAAAATTTCACTATTGATTATTACAAATCAAGTAGTAGACAGCTTTGTGTATGTTTGAGCACTTAGAATAAATATGAGGGACCCTAGCG